GGACGACATACCGGTGGACATGGATGAGCAGAACTGTCGGTTCCACGCGACACACCTTAGCATGACACACCTGGCCTATAATCCCGGTGCCAAGTATTTGTTGCTCATGCGTAATCCGAAAGACGTTTGCGTTTCTTACTATCATTTTTTGAAACAACAATTTCAATTGGATCTCGATTTTCATGAGTACTTTAAGCTGTGGATCACCGGAAAGTACTTCCCGTACGGCGACTACTTTACGGCGATTAAGTCTAGTTGGGAGCACCGGGAGGACAGCAACTGTACGGTTATTACCTATGAGGAGATGGTAGGACGACATACCGGTGGACATGGATGAGCAGAACTGTCGGTTCCACGCGACACACCTTAGCATGACACACCTGGCCTATAATCCCGGTGCCAAGTATTTGTTGCTCATGCGTAATCCGAAAGACGTTTAAATTATCTGGTTCAAAAATAAATGAACTTTTACTGACTATATTTCACCTATCAAAACTTTTGCATAACCCTAATACTTGCCATAGAAGTTATACATTGAATGCAATACAAATGGTACAAACCTTTCAGGGGCAATAACACGAATCAAGTTTATAGGGTTTACTATAATTCTATAATACATGATTATAATCAAGTTTATTATAATTTATCACTACATGGAGAATTAAAAAATTCTGTACATGCCTGATGTAAATAACCAAAGTCCATGCCGTAGACTACGGTTAGGTACTCGAAAACATTTATCAAATGGTCCCTTACTTTCTGGCCACACCAACTCCGTACCTATTTATCTGTACCCCCTTACGAATGACTCCCTTATCTGTAAACAGTTTGTTCGACGGCAACGCACCGGTGCTTACGGTGGCCGACCCGGCGCTCGTCAAACGGATTCTGGTGAAAGATTTCGACGTATTCTCCGATCGATACCAAACGCCGTACCCAAACCCCATCACCGGCGTCGACCACTTGGGCGAAGCGCACGGCGCCGACTGGCGGCGAATGCGCGCCGTGTGGTCGGCCATGTTTACCGGCGCCAAACTCCGGCACCTGTGCCCCACTCTGGCCGACTGCGTAGCCGAACTCGTGCGCTCGCTTGAGGCTAGCGTTGGCGCTCAAACTGACCTAGTGCCTATATTCGAGAGATTCGCCATGGACGCCCTGTGGAAGGTCGGGTTCAGCGTGAAGTGTGGCGCCCAAAGTGACCATGGTGCCGGCAACGTGTTGGTGAGCAACTACAACAAGGCGTTCAACACGGACTTCGTGCGCAGCCGTACGCTGCAAGCCGTGTGGCAATGGATGTTAGAGATCGTCGGCGTCCTTAACATTAACGCCATGACGTATCTCATGTTTTTCATGCAATTCATTAGGCGGGTAATAACCGATAGGAGGCGCCAACAGAATGATGGTTACAACGACTTTATTGAATGTTTCATGAAGTCCGTGAGAGATCCTAATTTGGAATTCAGGGCATCTGGGTCGTCCGTTGCTAATGAAAAAGGTCAGTTATATATATTATCTTATAAGGACACTTGCTGATAATTTAACTTGACAATATTTATTTTAATTACTATAAACCTACTAATCATTAAAAATATTTTAGTCATTAATAAATAAAATATTCGTGATATTGATGTTACTATGTATTCTCTGTATAGGACATGTTACTGTTTATAAATAATTACTAGCTATAAAAATGCTTTAACATTAAAATTGTATAGAATATAGCATCTTTAATTCTCGTTTATTTAAATAATTATAGTAAATTGTGTAAATATATTATGTGCGTGTTATACAGAGTTGTCGCTAAAGAACGTTCCCATTGGGAGGCTTGGCATTTGGACACCCTGTGCTATATTTTGATGATTCCTTTTCGAAGTTCCCTCTACAACTTGGAAAATGAATCATCATAATATAGTACAGGTGTCCAAATGCCAAGCCTCCCAAATCGGTCCGTTCTTAATGACAACGCTGTATATGAAACAAATCTCTAACTATCACTCCGTAACTTGATGAATGGGTCAATTAAAAATACTACAGTATGTTTAAGTAAACTAGAATTATAATGGTATTGTTAACTACATGTTAACTACCCTAAACAATGTTAATGTGACATTGTGCAAATTAGGATGTATTAAATATTGTAACGATCTTCTTGACAGACAACTCGCGTGAGTTACTACCGCAAACTACCAGTAAATATTTGACCGAGAGTGAGGTGTCGGCTAACGGGTGGCTATTATTAATATCGGGCACCGAAACCATTACCTCAAGCCTGTCGTTCGTGGCGTATGAGTTGGCCCGCAATCCGGACGTTCAGCGACGGCTACGCTATGAGATCGTCGCCGCGACGGACGACACCAATGGGAACATCGGTTACGACGCGTTGACACGACTGCCATATTTGGACGCCGTTTTGTCGGAAACCCTGCGACTACACTCGCCTTTTCATCGTGTGATCCGAACGGCCACCCGGGACTACACACTGCCCGGGACTGGAATTAGCATGCAAAGGGGTCAGAAGGTTGAGGTGCCCGTGTACGCCATACACAATCAAGATCGATTCTTCCCGAACTCCGAACACTTTGACCCAGGGCGTTTTTTGACGGATCGTAGGCCGACAATGTATATGCCATTCGGTGTTGGGCCGCGAAATTGCGTAGCTGGTCGATTCGCCATGCTCGAATTAAAAATGGTCGTGGCACAAATTGTGAAATGTTTTACGCTCGAGATAGTTGCCAATGCGGACGTACCGGTGCCGTTGATGAATCGTCAGGAAGCTCATAAGCCATCGAGTGTTGTGTTGCATATTATGAAAGTTATTAAAAATTAATTAAACTAGCCCAGAAATACAATTGCTATTTTGTATATTATTAGATACACTATCCTAAAATTTAAGTTTCAAATCAAATGTAGCAACAACCAACAATTAATCCAGAGTAATAGTAATAAATAATTTCCAACAAAATATTGCATTTGTTGATAATGTTGGATTTATTATTACAAATGATTAAAAATGCACTTCATTCATAATAGATCATTATTAGAGACATATATGAAAGCATAGGTTATAAATGTTATTTCAATTAAACAAATCTATGTTAATAAATTCATATCTATCTAAGTATATCAGTAATTTATCAAAACAATTTTATAAACATAATTATATTTGTAAAACATGCTGCTTAATTACTAATAAATGTATAACTTTAATTACGACATACACTCTGAATAAACATGACTTTTAAATAATTTTATTAACATAACTTTAATATTGAGATAATTAATATTTTTAACTTGAAAAGTTTAAATTATATTAATTTAATTTAAAGAGTTTATTATTATTTTCAAAACATTCCTGATAATTTCTTTGAGTCATAAATTGGGTTTAAATTAAACTATATTATACGTTACGATACCAGATTTAATAGCACCAAACGTGGCTCAAATGCTCAAGATAACCTTTCACCCTTATCAAGTTACGCAATTTTTTCGTGATTTTACACTCAATCTGATCAATGATAGGAAACGGGATCTCGAAACCGGAAGTCCTGTCAAAAGGGTTGACTTTTTGCAACTAATGTTGGATGCGATGAGAGATGATAACAATGAGGCCATCAATGGGTCCGAAGAATATACGGATAGTAAGAGTGAAGAGAAATATAAGAAAATACAGGCCACGGATGATGTGAAGGATAAAAGTGAATAGACATTGATTTTTAAAGTTTTCAAAAACAATATTAATATTATATTAATTGAATATTATATGAACAAAGCTAGAGTGCAATAATAATGTTTATTCACATTTTTTCAGGCCTTTCGTACGATGAGCTCATAGCCCAATGTGTGATGTTTTTAATCGCCGGCTATGAGAACACATCGACCACTCTATCCCTTTGTTTGTATAGTATTGCTAAACATCCGGAAGTCCAGCAAAAATTATACGAAGAAATTCATACATTTCACGAACAAAAGGTTTTCGTAAATCATGTTTCTTATCAATTATATCTATATCTGATATTTTTAAATAAAAGCCGGATTATGGATGAGTCGTGAGTAGAAAGCTTTTTTAAAATAAACTTCTATACTTTACTTTACACGTAAGCAATAGAAAAATCTTACCACTTACAACTCATCCATAATCCGGCTTTTATTTTAAAATATCAGATATATATTAAACTCAATTATATGAAACAGAGACAATTATTTCTATGAGTAATATAAGATTAATCTTTATATGGAACGTGTCTCATAGTCAACCAATACGACGCGTTTCATAATACTCTTAATCTTCTATTACTCATCGAAATCATTGTCCCACATTCATATAATCGAGTTTCATACACAAGTTATATTTGAAGCTCAATTTTAAACATAACATGTTAAAAATATCGAATAAAATGTTCACCAATCTTATCTTATATACATACTAAATGACAAATTTGTGTTTTAAATTCATAAAACTTCAAACAAACAGATATCGAGTGCCGATTCGTACGAAACAATAAACTCATTGAAATACATGAACGCAGTCATCGACGAAACCCTACGACTATTCTCGCCCCTCATGTACCTGAATAGGGTGGCCACTGAGGACTACGAGTTAAAGGGCACCGGTATTATCATCAAAAAAGGGCACGAGGTGCACATCCCGACCTACCCCATGCATAGAGACCCGGAATACTTTACTGACCCGCAAGTGTTTAGACCGGAAAGGTTTCTACCGGAAAACATAGCCCACAATCCCTATACGTATCTACCATTTGGCGCCGGCCCTCGAAGCTGTATTGGCATGCGATTGGCTCAGTTGGAGTTTAAATTAGCCCTGGTTAATCTCATACATCGTTACGTTTTCCACGCAACACAAGTATTATTATTTCATTTTCATTACACTTTGATAAATGAGCAAGTAACAAAATGATAATTTTTCCTTTTTAGAAACCACTGGAGCAATGTGTCACTGGTGATATAATTATATCGAAATCGGTGTATTTGAAAATTCAAAAGCGATTGTAATTTTTTTATTAATTTGTTTTTACGATTAATTATTTGAAAATATTTTTTACCTTCATGTGAAATACATTTTAAAACAATAGACCTTGTTTAATCGTAATGTAATAGTAATGTATAATGAATGAATGATACGGGCTTAGAAGGAATCTCTCGATACGGAAAGTTGGCCATGCTAGTTTAATTTGTATGAACAAAAACTAAATCATATACTTGATAAATATGCATAGTCAAAAAGTGCGAATTCGGGCGATAAAATGGTCATTTTGCGGTCAAGGAGTTGGCTGACATGATCATTTGTACTTGAATACTATATATACTGCGTATATGACTGCGTATAAACGCATACATTTGCCGGATAAGTTTGCGACACAAAGTGCTTACTATACGGTTGAGTGCCGTCTAAACTTTTAATACATACCGTCTATACAAATAATGTTAATTTATATAAAATGATCATGTCAGCCAACTTATTGACCGCAAAAATGACCATTTTATCGCCCGAATTCGCACTTTTTGACCATGTAAATTTATCAAGCATATGATTAAGTTTATGTACATACAAATTATACTAGCATTGCCAACTTTCCGTATCGAGAAATTCCTTCTAAAGAATAATTTCACAATTTTAGTATAAATCTAAAAGGGCTTCACATTTTAATTGCTTACACATACAGTAAAGTATATCATACGAAAGATTTTATAGTTATGACTTATTAGATTTTTACTCAAAATATGAAATTATTAATTGGGTTTGTTGTTTCACTTATATTAGTCAAAGTATTTTTAAAAAGTATTGCCCCTTAAATGATTTCCACCTATTTTATAAAATAATTATATTTGTGTGTGAGTTTTGAAAAAGTCATTACAAATGTTGTAATACGGCTAAAAGTGGCTAAAACGCTGCACACTGGTATATACCAACCAGTTCCACGTATTACAAATACTAATACTTATAGCATTACTAACTGTTAATGCTACGTATCTTTGGAAGTCACTGGTATATACTGTAAATATATTTTTATATTAACAATATTTAATCCCTTTTATGAATTTGGCATGGATAAATTAATGAAATTGTATGGCTTCAAAAATAGGAATTGTTAATTATTGGGATTACACGTTTACACAATTAGCCATTTATGACGTTAGGAATACTATTGATTATATACTTGATATAACAAAAAAAGGTACAAATTTCAATCAATGTAGACATTTACAAATTATTAAAAACCCTTAATACCGATAATATTGCCGAAGCCTAAAATTTTCCTTACCAATAATACTGATCAAGGTTAATACTAAAGGAATTACATTTTTAATATAAAAATTTGTAATTTCAGTTTATATTATAAATCATATATGCTGTATTAATACTGTGTAATACAAATACTCAACAGAAAAATTTTACTGCTAAATAACGGGTGTTCAAAAAAGTAGACAAAAAGTTTATTTATACTTCAAAAACTACAAAAACAATAATTTATTGAAATATAAAACATTTTGAAGATAAGAGTATGAGATTTAATGTAAAATATAATCAAAGATTTTGCCAGTTATTTGAACCAGGTTTTCGAGCTATACACTTAATTTATCGCCTCCACAGACTATCATATCGTTGGACCAAATTAAGCAGGCATTGAATAATTTTAATGTAAACAAGGGTTTGCAATCAACTATTAACCACCCATTTGTAGTCCATTTGAAAATTATTTTATTATGCAAGACAACGTCCCATACATTTATCTTTAATTCAAAATTAATTTGATCCAGATATTTTTTTGAAGTTTTTGAATAACTTATTGGGTACATTTTTGATTACCCGTTGAAACCCTAAAATTTAATTAAAGATTAACCATAATACTAAAGGGTGGCCATGTTAATGTTTATATTATCAAACATGTATTAGATTACTAATATAGCACCATAATTTAAATATAATATTCGACTTATTTCTACTGATTAAAATAAATTGTTTTCTAGTAATAGAGTAATATTCATAGGAGTTTAAATAAATTATACTTTAATCCTTTTTGTATCATATAAATTCTAGAATACTAGTGTTGAATATACTTTTTAAATTCATTTTATTCTCAATCTGGCAAAAAGTAACCTATAGCCCATAGGCTATAATGAATATAGGCTAGTTTTCGGCCAGATTGAGAATAAAATGGGTTTACTTTGTTTAAATAGTAAATGCATACATTACTAGTTAATTTATGGAAACCATATTTGGATCTCTATAACAAGGTGATACTGTCAAAATTAAGAGAATAAAAGTTTATGTGTACAATGTACATTTAATTCATTTTTAAATTCACTTATTTTTAAATCATAACTAATTGTTTAAGCTTAATAATTATAAGAATACCTGCTTTAGACTCATTAAGGTACATTGGTCATTCACTGGGTACGACTTCTATGATTATATTATTGTCCACAATGCCAAATTATGAAGTCCATATTAAACCATACATTGCATATGCTCCTTTAATGGTTATTGCCCACATCAAATCGAAAATATATCATTTCCTAAGGCCAACAATAATTCCTTTGTTTGTACAATTTTTAATGTAAGAAATATAGCACCATGATAATTTTAACATAATGAAATAATTATAACATTTGAAATATTTAAATAATAGTTCCTTGCCTCCATTTTCATTGGGTCTATCGATTGAAATGCGCCAGTTTCTTGGGCAATATATTTGTAACAATGAACTAATACAGCCTATTTGCGGGGCAATTTTCTACGACATATTTGGCTTTGACCCGAACGCACAATGGCCGGTTAGTTTATCATTGTAACTTATTATAATATTTATAATACACAACTAATCAAGTTTATTGAAATATTTTTAAAATTCCAAATTTTATTCAAAGAGTAGTTTTTGATGGTTTAATCAGATCTTTAATTTAAAAGAATTTTTTCTCAAACACCATGTCAAGGTTTGACCAATTGTCAATATAATTTGGTGAAATTAACAAAATAAAATAAGCTT